GGAACCTTATTTGCAAACATAGTGATTATTTCAGTTGGGTTTTTTTTTTTTTCTATTAAGGAAACTCATTATGTGACCTTCATTCTTGGCCAATGTAGATCCTGAGTTTCAGATGCATCAAGATTTTTGGAGCAAACGTATGTAAAGCATCTTTGAAGGTCTATTTTTCAAAAAACAGACACTGAGTTTTCTGGTACCGGAAAATGGTAATGATTCTAGCTTAACACTTTTGCATTTTTAAGGATGGGAGGCTGGGCTGGAGTGGCCCTACAGCATGGGAAGATGAATAATAGCTAGAGGTAGTTAGATCCTCTGTGATTCTTTTGGACACGCTAAACAGAAATCTTTGTGGAGCAATATTTGAACAGTCACTGTGCTCGAATGCATTTCTAATTTTGAGTGATTTTACTACTTCTGAAGTTGACTGTTAGAGAGAGGGGAGGCATCTCCAAATACAGTGAAATCTGTAGAGCAAGTATGCATTTTTAAGCATCCCCTTCAGCTTTTATGTATTGCAGATAATGACATTTGTACAGCAGAAAGCATATGAAATCACTTTGAAAATTGAAGAGTAAAAAACTTAGGGAAGTTTTATAGGGCAATTATACAACACCAGGAAGTCTTTTATTACATTTACATGAAAAAACCTCCTGGTGTACTTGCAGTATTTCTCCTGTCAATCAGTAGCTCTAGGCTTTGGATGCTCTTTTAAGCAAGGTATCTGTTTTCAAAGGAGGCGATGGAAATGTTGCTTGGCTGAGTGGATCAAATACTTCATAATAAAGGTAGTTCTAATTCAGTAAGAAGCAAGAATTTATCACAGAGCATAGTGTTTTCCTCTGTCCTGACTCCTTATCAGCAAATTTAATAGCCCCGACCTGCAGCATTTGTGACCTACTCTGTGAAGGCAAAGTAGAGGCTGGGCAGTAAGATGTGATCACTTGGTAAATGCAGTGTAGTATCGCATGTGTCTACTCACTGGCCACGTAACGATAGGTGACAGCATTTGAAAATGTAAACTGTCTGGGCTCAGTTGTATTCCAGCTTCCCTCTCATTTGTTATTTTTTTTTCATGGCTCTTTCTTGTAGCACATGTGCTGTAAACTGTGCCTGTTTTTGAAGAGTGGGCATAGGATTGGATATTAGGAAAAATTTCTCACTGAAAGGGTTGTCAAGCATTGGAACAGGCTGCCCAGGGAAGTGCTTGAGTCACCATCCCTGGAGGTATTTAAAAGACGTGTAGACGTGGTGCTCAGGGACATGGTTTAGTGGTGGACTTGGCAGTGCTAGGCTAACGGTTGGACTCGATGATCTTAAGGGTCTTTTCCAACCGAAACGATTCTATGATTCTGTGATAAAGAAATGACTATGAAGTTAGACAAATGTTTCAAATAGTGGTTGTCTTCATTAAGCTACATCAGACATTTGAGTCTAATCATATATAGGAATGCAAAGTGTTCTGCAGCATATTTTCATTTTGTCACATTTTGAATATCTTCTTCCTCTTACACATTGAGGAAAGCAGAACAGAAATAACTCTCTTGATGAGCTACACAGTTTTAACAGACTTGAGCAAGTCAGCCACACAGAACTGGATGGCAGGGGAAACTGAAAAAATTATTCTTAACAATCCCTTGTAAGACAAAAAGAGTGATGGAAGGGAGTGTCTGTCTCCTGCTGGATGCTTTATAAGTTCAGAAATTTATCTTGCTAACTTGCTTTTTCCATTCCTGCAAGTGTTATCCTAGCATTCATAAATGAGAAACAAACCAGTTTATGTGGTAGCTGTAAAGAAGAAGGAAGAAAATATCTAGGTCGATCTCTGTTGACATGTGTTTATACGACGCAGTTCAAAGCTTCAGAAAAATTCCATGAGAGATTTGACTATGTAAATATCTGTTAGTTGCCAGATTTGAAAATGAGGCAAATGCAACAGGTCAAATCTTGAAGCATTAACATGGTTCTTTTAAACGAGCTCCAAATGGGAAAACTTCAACTTGACCATAAATGGATTGGAATATCTTATTGTATTAAATCTCCTTTCCTGTCTTGTGTGCTTTTCACAAATCCTAAAAATGTTGCTTAAAAATCCATGTTTCCGCTGGAATGATTTCTGCTGAATTACATTAAGTTTTTGAGGGAGGAAGAAAAAACCCCACACTAGTTTTGTGATGAAGCTGCAATTAGCATAAAGCTGTAGTCTTTCTTCAAAGTAAGGTAAGGCTTTCAGCTGCATAAAGCGTATTCTTATATTCTTAATAATGCAGAGGCAGGATGCTCTGAGGTGAGAAAAAGGAAAATCAGTTACAGTGAAAATATAAGTAAATCAGGTAGTGCAGGGCTGTCGTATTTTTGCATTTATCAGCAATCTTGTTAAAAACAAAATTTCAAATAACATTTTTAGTGGCTAAGTCCTCACCAGAGTATGTAAAGGTTCTACAATCTGATCTCATTTGTTAAAATACAAAATCAGTTTTCTCAGTATGGTATGCTTGAAAATTGTTTTTGTAGCCTTGGATTACTCTGTATATGCTTTTGTGTACACAAAGACTACAAAACTAAAGGTTTTAGTTCAGCTGTGTGAAAAAATTATTCTTAACAATCCCTTGTAAGACAAAAAGAGTGATGGAAGGGAGTGTCTGTCTCCTGCTGGATGCTTTATAAGTTCAGAAATTTATCTTGCTAACTTGCTTTTTCCATTCCTGCAAGTGTTATCCTAGCATTCATAAATGAGAAACAAACCAGTTTATGTGGTAGCTGTAAAGAAGAAGGAAGAAAATATCTAGGTCGATCTCTGTTGACATGTGTTTATACGACGCAGTTCAAAGCTTCAGAAAAATTCCATGAGAGATTTGACTATGTAAATATCTGTTAGTTGCCAGATTTGAAAATGAGGCAAATGCAACAGGTCAAATCTTGAAGCATTAACATGGTTCTTTTAAACGAGCTCCAAATGGGAAAACTTCAACTTGACCATAAATGGATTGGAATATCTTATTGTATTAAATCTCCTTTCCTGTCTTGTGTGCTTTTCACAAATCCTAAAAATGTTGCTTAAAAATCCATGTTTCCGCTGGAATGATTTCTGCTGAATTACATTAAGTTTTTGAGGGAGGAAGAAAAAACCCCACACTAGTTTTGTGATGAAGCTGCAATTAGCATAAAGCTGTAGTCTTTCTTCAAAGTAAGGTAAGGCTTTCAGCTGCATAAAGCGTATTCTTATATTCTTAATAATGCAGAGGCAGGATGCTCTGAGGTGAGAAAAAGGAAAATCAGTTACAGTGAAAATATAAGTAAATCAGGTAGTGCAGGGCTGTCGTATTTTTGCATTTATCAGCAATCTTGTTAAAAACAAAATTTCAAATAACATTTTTAGTGGCTAAGTCCTCACCAGAGTATGTAAAGGTTCTACAATCTGATCTCATTTGTTAAAATACAAAATCAGTTTTCTCAGTATGGTATGCTTGAAAATTGTTTTTGTAGCCTTGGATTACTCTGTATATGCTTTTGTGTACACAAAGACTACAAAACTAAAGGTTTTAGTTCAGCTGTGCACTTCTGAAATAGGTTTTTATTATTTTTTTAATCCATTGTCCTCATTAAGTGAACTAATCTGTGGTTTTTATTTAGATTTATTTTATAAAAGTGTAGGAATAATTTTATAAGCTTGGAAAGTATTAGATTTAGAAAAAAAATTGTATGAATGTATACTTTATACAGGGGAAAAAATAAGAAATTGCCATTTTCTTTAGGTTCCTAGGTCACGCAGATTTCTTAGCTATTTGAGACTGCTATTTATTTTATATAATTTCTTCATGTTGCGTAAGAATTACGGTAATTTTTGGACGCTATTTTAAAAATAATTTGCAGAGAAGTGTCTCACCTGCTCAGAGACTATTCATCAGTTTAGAAGAGTGTGTTAATTTTATACCTGATCCCCAACACCCAGCAGCACACGGCACAGCTGCCCTGTCACCAGTGGCAGGGTTACTCATAAACGCAGCCTCCTACCTTATTTCTGTTAAGTACCATTTACTTGCACAAGAAGTTCCCTCGAAATTATTCATGTGAGGAAGTAAATGCCACTCATCTTGATTAAGGTGCCCACAGTGACATCAGTAGAGACAAGACATTCACGGCTGGATAGGGAAAACGCTAACCGAACAGGTAGGTACAGTGCTGATTAGTTTGCTGGTTAAGTAAAGAAGGGATGTGTGCATGTGGACAAACCACACTACATGCGTACCACTCTGCAGGTTTCCGAGTTGCTAGCTCTTGTTTCCTCAAACTTCCATACCTAATACTGTACCTGGGACAGATTCCTGCTGATCTGAATAGGGCTGGGGAAAGGAGACTGACTGTGCCGTCTGACATGCCCTCGCTAAAGCTTTCCTGGCCGTAACACTTGGAATGGTATTTCACAAGAACCAGCTATGACCTGGATCCAAACCCCATGGAAGCTAAATCCTTCGCCTACCCTTCACATTGCCCCGGTTTATGCATGCCTAAAACTGGACAGTGGACTACTGAAGCGTGATACAGTTCTTCCCATTAACTTTAATAAGTTTTGGATCCAGCCTGATGAGATTTTAATGAATACTTTAAACTTTGTGGTTGTCAAAGCTACGTTATGGATTGCAAAGGCAACTCCCCACTCAGTTTTCATTGCCATTTTGCTTCTCAGTTCGAGACGACTATCTCTGCGAGTAAGGTAGTACTCACCACAAACAGGGAGGCCAGTATCCTGAAGTTTTATAGAAGGCATCCTTACTTTCTAAAGAAAGAAAAGAACAAAATTAGATTATAGTGCCACAATCTCAGTATAAAGAATTCAGCAAAAAAAAGGAATATTGCTTAAATGAAGAACAATGACTTGTAATTCTTACTGAAATTTTTCTTGATGTTTCAGAACCATCTACTAAAAATGCTGATGCACAGTAGATATCTAATAATAGCAACAGGTATTTAGATTTAATGTGAATATCTCTTTTTGAAAACAGGTGGTGCTTCTGTCATGGCAGCTTCTGGGTCTTTGAAAGTGCATAGAGGGCACAGTCTCCAAGCTGGTAAGTGTTAAGTGGTTACGAGGTATGTGTGTGCATGTAAATTTAAATTAATTTAAACTTAGATTATTTTAAACTTCAGAAGATGTTAAAGGTAATGTATGACTTGATTCCCTATTGTAAGTCTTACGTATTTCTTTGGGTTTTTTGCTTTGCAGGGTTTTTGTTAGAAAGGCATTGACAGATGGGATAAGTTTCGAAGAGGCAGTGACAGATGAGATAAGTGCCAGAGCATAGGCAGTAATCTTATTCACACCAGTAAAATGCTGCCAGCACTTTAACAAAGGGCATCCACCAAAAAAACCCCACCTCGGGCCATGAGAAATCCGGTACCCTAGCAATGACGTGGTGCGGAAAAAACCCCCACCACATTTAAAGATACTTCTTCACAGTAACAGAGAAAGAAACAACACCAGCAGATAAAATGATGAGTGTTTGTCATTAAAAATTAATCCCAATATGTTCATTCTATGGGCATAGCTTTTTAGCTTGTCTTGTTTGAACTGGGATGGAGTCTGAAATCATGAGAGAACCTGGGCATCTTTTTTCGGCTTAGTGCTCTGGAAGCACTGGTGCTGTTGTGCAAGCTGGCCTCCTGCAAAGATGATGATTTGCATTTGGAAAGCAAAGTTCTCTTTGGAAGGGCTAGTTTAAGCATTTTCTACAGAGCTTTGTCAGAAATCAAGAAGCTATCCATCATGCTGGAGGTGGAATTTTAACAAGAGTCTTCCAGATGCTCCCATGATCACCCACGCACTTCTCCCTGATTCATGCGTTCAACACAGCTTCGCTCCCACATCGATGTACAGCAAAACACACTGTTGACTTCAGCGGCCTTCAGTGTGAATACTTCTAAAAATGTCCTAACGTTTATTTCCTTGATGTTACACTCATTAGAAAATGCTGGCATCACCGCTACAGAAAAGTCAACACTAACCACTGTTTATACTTTCTGAGATTATTCAGTATGATTATTCAGATTAGAAGGTTACAAGTCAAAACCAGAAAATCATATGCTTTGTTTTCATTGTGAAAATTCCTAAATCCAAAGCCATTGACAGCGTTCCTGTATTCTAGGTCCTAAAGGTGGCTATGAGATGCTAACACTTCCTGCAGAACCTGGAACTCCTACTAGCCCTGAGGAACCTGGTGAGTAAAGATCTTTGGAGCCAGTTGCATTAGAGGACACTAACATCTCCTGTTTCTTTTTCCATTTCCTTTTTTGTTGCGATCTCTTCTAAATGTTTATTTTTGAGGTGGTGCCCTTTGAGCATGTCAGCTTTACATGCATGCTTACAGACGCACACACGCTTATCTTGGGGCTGTGTTTATGGTGTTGGTTTTCTTTCTGCGTTATTTATCACACGTTTCTGAGAATGGTGCCTACATAGGGTAGAAAATATGAATAACTAACACTGGCTGAAAGAAAGGCTAGAACACCAGTTTAAAATATAATTTTCTTCTTCCCTCCCCAATTATACTATCTTTTCCTTTCTTTCCCCCCTCATTTCAGTGCCACTGCATTTTCTCTTTTTTACTCTTCTTCTATTATTTGCTTAACTATCTTTTTTCCTTCCTACCTTTTCCCCCTTTCTCTTCAAACAATCATGATTCTTTCAGAATGTTGTAACTGTGCATTTTGGTCTGTTTTTCTCCCAAATTATCCCTCCATAATGATCTCAAATGCTGGTCCACATAGGGTAGAAAATATGAATAACTAACACTGGCTGAAAGAAAGGCTAGAACACCAGTTTAATATAATTTTCTTCTTCCCTCCCCAATTATACTATCTTTTCCTTTCTTTCCCCCCTCATTTCAGCCACTGCATATTTTCTCTTTTTTACTCTTCTTCTATTATTTGCTTAACTATCTTTTTTCCTTCCTACCTTTTCCCCCTTTCTCTTCAAACAATCATGATTCTTTCAGAATGTTGTAACTGTGCATTTTGGTCTGTTTTTCTCCCAAATTATCCCTCCATAATGATCTAAGATGCTGGTCCTCTGACCCCTCTTGTAAGCGTCTTCTGCCTCTGTCCACCCAGAACAGACTGCTGAAAGCACTGTCTTTGTCCATGGCTCTCTGTGTGCCTTGTTTTCTTAGTAGGAGATTTTGACTGTCTTGTGCTTTTCAAATAAACCTTTCTCTTCAAACAAATACAAGCCAGTTTTTAGTGTCTAATGAGTTTTTTTTTTTTATTTCAAGGAAAAATGAAAAGCCAAGTATTTCTATGTTTACAAAGAAAGCACAGTTTCTGTTAAGACAGCACAGACTAAACAACATAAGACTTTTCCTTTCCTTCCATTCCAGTTTGCCCAACTTTGTTCTTGGTTTGTCTTTTTCCTTTGCGTCGTTATAGCAAGAATATTTGATTGTTGCCAGGGTTTTCTTTGTTCTATGTACTACTTTTGCTTTTCTTGCACAAAGCCCCACCAATTAATATAAGTGTGCTTTTTTAGTTCTCAGGAAAATCACTTGGCTTGTCTGCATCAGGTATGACATTCAGCTTCCTGAAACCTTTCAACTATTTAGCTTTATAGAGAAGTTTGCTAGTTTTCATGCTAGCTAGCTTTGAGGAGATTTCACTTAAACTCCTGCTACATCACTTCAACAGTGTATAGAAAGACTTTAAAAATTATCTTTTCCTTCATGACTATTCATGACTCTGTATCAGTCCTTAAGATTGTAATTTGCTTACAACTTTAACTATTTGGGATGCAGGTTTTCAATGCTATGGTTCTGCCGAATCCCTTTTGGCACAGTCAGGCCAAATTCCTTTGAAATACTTTAGACAGAATAATTGAGAATAATTTCTGAGAATGACGTTTGATGAAGATATAGAAATTTCTTCTTTTTGATTTTTTTTTTTCTCCTTTTCATTTTGTTCCTAACACCTGGCTTTGGAACAACAACTTGAAGTCTGATGGTCAGAAAAATGTTTGGTTACTTCGTGGATGTTCCCATGTTTTCTTTATGAAAATCTGCCAGAAACTTTCCAGGCTTTTAAAATTTTGGACTGGATTTAAATCCTTTGATTTAAATAGCTTAAGCCTGGAGAAATTCCATTATCCTGGAACCTGCTGTAACCTCTGACAACTCTTACTGTTGCCCGACTTTGAGTTATCTCTGCTATTCATAATACAGTCCAAGAAGAAGAAAAATTCCCCTTACTGGTTATTCACAGCTGCTGTTGGTTGGGTATAAGAAGTCATTCTCTCCTGTGCTATAAAAGTCTTGACCACCTACTGCCTCTCCATTCATATCTCATCAGTGTCTGAATGGGCAGAAAAGCAGTGATTTGGACAAAACCAAAAGTTTTGATATGAGTTTTATGTGGGGACAAGGAAGGGCTTAATGGGAGAGCTTCAGGGAGAGGGAGAACTTGAGGGTGTTTAAGGGTAAGAACTTCAACTGGACTGGACAGGCAGGGGATTACTAGCCTGCTGAGTAGGACAATGAAAATGTGACTCAAAGCCTTGCCTAAGCACAGAGAGAATACAGGTTTGTATTTGGGTCTCCTGTAGCCCAGGTAATTCTGGGAAGTCCCTTGGTATTCATGGATTGAAAAACTAGCTGTAGGTGCCTGATGTCAGGAAGGGGTTGAAGGCTGAAATGCCTTTCACTAGTCCAGTGAAAGGAACCTTCTACCTTCTCTCTTAGTTTCACTTGACAAGATTAGAATAATTGAAAGTAGAGCTAGAGGAGGTCTTGAGAATTCATCCAGTAGACAGAAAAGTTGTCTTTAAGTCAGAATCACTTTATAGAAAACTGTTTCCTAGTAGGTGTTAGTCTATTTCTTTTTTAGAAATTTCTAGATGCAGAAATTCTTCAGCCTCTGTGGGGTTTCCTCTAATGTTCTTGTGATCTTTACTATTAGAAAGGTTTTCCCACTGTCTAATCTTCTACTTTTTTCCTGCAATTGAAGTCTTTTATTACTTGGTCTGTCCCCACTTGGCATCATTCCTGTCTTTTTCAACTTGGTACAGGGAAGCTGTCAACATCTCTTCAAGCTTGCCTTCCCCTTGCTTGAAACGGTTCTTCAGTCCCTGTTTTCGGGACATACTTTCTGAACTTCTAGTGATTTTGGTTGCTCTCTTGTGGATGATATAACAGTCCACATCTGCCTAGAGCAGATTGCTTCATATTAGGCTTTACTAACCTGAGTTAGAGCTGAAAGCCTTGTGAGGTCGTGTTGCATACATTGCTTCTGTTTGAAAATTTCTGCATAGTGTTTTCTTTCCGTCACAACACAGTGAGATCACTGGCTGTGGTCTGTGGTCTTCTGCATAGATCCTGACTTGATCAGTCTCTGAGGATCTTTCCTGTAGAAACCTTAGTCTTCTCATGTCCCATCCATGAGCTGTTTGGCAAGCTGAGTTGTTGCTGCTGAATGTTTGCTTTCAGAATATTCGATGGGACAGTGCGTTTTTATGAAATGGATCATTGGCCATTGCAAACGGTGTCTACAATAACATGTTACTTATTTTAGAAGGGGCAGTAGCTTATTCAGCTGATGTCCCTGCATCAGATCGACCCCACAGCGAGGCAGCCACCTATGTTAATATTCCTGTCAGCCCTACTTCCAAAAAACAGCTTCATTACATGGAATTGGAACTTCAGGAACCTAGCACAAGCATAAGAGGTAAGGATGTCTACAATACTATTTAAACAGCAAAGGATGCAGTAATGCAGAATGTATGGGGTATGTGGAATCTTAATTTCTCATCTACCCATAGGCTCCTTCTAACAGAGTTGAACCCTGGTACATTTGTGAGGCAGTTCTTGTAATCGCCAACTCTTTTGGAAAAGATTTTTAAGTAATGAGGTTCTATAAGATGTTGCATCCTTCTGACAGGCGCATTGTATACGCACTCCTTCTAAAGTGAACATTTCTGTGTCTGTGGATTTTGACAGACAGTAATTTGCTTCGTGTTCTCAAGATTTTCATCGCACATATTATCACTACACTTACTTAATTTTTCTTGCTTGGCTTCAGAAACAGGGCTGTGGGTGTAGGTGTACAGGGCTTGCTCCTGAAGATACTGGCTCTGGAGCCATGCAGCAAATGCTTAAGAATAGAACACAGCGTTCTTCTATCTGCTCTCCATGAGGATGTGTGAAAGTGCTACAGAGAGGAAGGCAGCCCAAGTACTTGATTTTTTTTTTTTGTATTTTATTCTTTTGTCTGGATCTGGGTATTTTACTTCTAGTGCTTAACTAGGACAATTAGCACATAAACATGCATTACCGGTACCATGTAGTGTTATTTAGAGATGCATTCCTCCTTACAGAAAGCCCCTAATCATGATCTGACATTTACTTGTTCACATTTGATATTAATGGGTTTTCCATGTATAGTTTTCAGCTATTGAGATTTTAATTTTTATACTTTTAATTTCAGCAAGTTTATTAACTTTGAAATGGTAGCACTTTTCCCATCATTTTTTTCTTTTAACGTTTATATGGCTGTAGTTAAGTAATTCTAAGCTTCTCCCAGGCTTTAATGTAGTTCCCTGTACAACACCCTATTGAGATGTAAAAGTGATGTTTTATCTTCATTTTAAAGACAGTGAACCAAGGCATTAAGAATGAAGAGCCAAATTCCATAAATGGACATAATCTTTCCTAAATGTCAGCTACCCTCCCAAGCTCAACTTGTATAACTTTGAAGGTGCCTTTAATGACCATAAATATTTTATTTTTTCATACTAAACTTTTCCCAGCCTCTGGAGTTTTATGTCTGCGCCCATGCAGAACTGTTCTGCTCCTGAACAGACTGAGCAGCTTTTATCTCCCGTATTGCCAATTATTGGACTAAATTGTCATTCTGGCTAAGGCTGAAGGAGGTTGATCTGGTAAACGTTGACAGAGTGCCTAATCCAAACGAAGAGGAATCCCTGCCAGCTGCCCTACCAATGGTGTTTTCTTTCCAAATACCAGGTGTTATTCATTTACTTACTAGTAGCCTGCTGATGAAGCCTCCCAGAAGTGGGAGAGCTGAGTTCCATTTTGTCTTCTACTGGGAGGAGTAGGGGTGCAGATTCAAACCTGGGGCAGAAATGCAAGTGGTTCATTTGCTTATTTGAAGAAAACCAGATAGTTAAAATAAGTAGATAACAAAGCTTTTGAGTTTGTTTTTTTTTTTAAGTTGTGGTTATCATCTTACTCCCTTTACAGAGCTTGCTTTAAGACCAGACCAAGATCATATAGGAAATCTGTGGAAGAAGTGTCTCAATAGCTTAACCCTGAGTCAGTTTTACCCAGGAATATGTCAGGGATATAGTCTTTTACATGATTTCATTTGGTATTTCAGGGAGTGGATCATCCCGATATGCACAGATTGACATTGCAGCCACCGAGACAGCCCACAAAGTGGGAACACAGCATGCTCAGTGCCGGGAGGAACGCTTGCAGGAGCTGGAGCAGAAGAAGAAAGGGGCTCAGCAATGACCTGTCTAGGAAAGAACTTTTTGCTCACCATAAATTGGTACTAATTTATCTTCCAAAAGATTCATATTTATTGTAAAAAACGCTCATACAAAAAGCTGCCATTGCTTATTTCATTTATACCAGATTCATTCCAAAATCTTGATTCCTAATTGGAAAACTGGTAGCATGAGGGGTGTGCATGGTCTTTCTTTTTATTTTAATTTGGTTGTAAAGTCCTGATTTTTTTTCATATGCAATGACAGATGTAAGTTACCTTTTTCTATAACTCTAAAATCCTGGAGAACCTGGAACCAATTCCAGTGTTTATTAAATGGTGGCATTTTCTTTAAAAATAAAGAACTTGAATGTGTGCGGATAAGGGAATGTGAGTGTGTGCATGGTAAGTGTACACATATGTTTGCATGTGTGCATATGTATGTATGTAAGCACACATCACTGATAAAATATTTGTATATATCTAAGTGTATAAAATACATAAAACCTCTATTAATATATTAATGGACTCTTACAAAAGCAAGAAAATTCAGTGCCTGATTTTTTGCAGGCAAAGTTTTGTTCCATTTATATGCTTATTTATGGACGTGCGTAACTTTACCTATGGGTAATTCAGTTTTATACCTCACCAAGGGTTCCGTAGCTTTGGCTAAAGCGGCTCAGATTTAAAAGCTGCAGTGTCAGGGATGCATATGTGTATGCTGGTAAGTGTTCACATATGTTTGCATGTGTGCATATGTATGTATGTAAGCACACATCACTGATAAAATATTTGTATATATCTAAGTGTATAAAATACATAAAACCTCTATTAATATATTAATGGACTCTTACAAAAGCAAGAAAATTCAGTGCCTGATTTTTTGCAGGCAAAGTTTTGTTCCATTTATATGCTTATTTATGGACGTGCGTAACTTTACCTATGGGTAATTCAGTTTTATACCTCACCAAGGGTTCCGTAGCTTTGGCTAAAGCGGCTCAGATTTAAAAGCTGCAGTGTCAGGGATGCATATGTGTATGCATACAGACAAGAGCACACACAAACAAGCTATTTAATTTAATTATGCCTATAAACCGAAGTAATGTGAAGGGACATTTTGGTTGCCTCTGTTCTTAAAAACCCTGTGTCAAACCATAGGCTTTGATTTCATAGTTGCTGAGTACCCGTAATTCTTAGCAATTTTCCTGGAGTTGAAAATACGTATCACTTTGAAAATCAGGTCTCAGGTTTCTCATACAGAATATCTTAAAATCAAGGTACTCAAAAGAAACATTCACTTTTGAAAATTGACTCTTTTATTTGTATCTCCAAAACTTTCCCTAATGTAAACCAGCATCAAAAGCGGATCATCCACCTTGAATCTAAAACTTTCATTGAATAATTCTCTGCTGTCCCTAAATAGCATAAAACCAGTTCTGTGTAAGAAAGAGGATGATGTCTTCAGAGATGCTACAGAACTGAGGCACAGCAGGCTATGTTGTAATATAGGTTTATCAGCAAGTGTTTGACATCTTGCTTTTGTACCCTGAGATTGTGATTCAAAACTTGACTTAGTTTCTTGTGTTGCATTGTCGATGTAATTCTTGTGTTCTATGTATTTGCCCTGATACAAAATGTTATTTAAATAAAATGTTATGGCAGTGACACTACATTAACAAAGCAGTGTACTTATGAAGAAAAAATTTTGGCCTGCGATAACATATCAGCTTTGGCTTCCAGAAGTTATCGGGGGTGATATCTTGGGTATTATGATTTCTTGACTGTGTTCTCTTAAGATACAATATCACAGCCCAATTCTGTTTTTCAGATATGCATTATTATTTATATTGGTGAGTGGAAGTTTTGTGCCAGTGAGGATTTCACTAGGTGACTTAGAAGGAGAGGCGGGTGTTTGTTTTTGAGGCAGAATTTAACCTACAAATTTATTTGAATGTAGCCTCAATAGTAATGTAAAATATCAGAAATCTCTCAAATAAAGAAAAATGTGTTTGAGAGTTGACAATTGCCATTGTCATCTGTCCTGTGCTCAGAGGTACTTTTCTCTTTACCAGCCTAGCATATTTCTGAAGGGAAAAGAAATATTTCTTATGAGATTCCCAGTTTAAAAGATTTTTCTTTTTTGACAAATGGACAGTGCTGATCTGCTTTGTAAACACATATTCAGTACAACTGGAATGGCCTGGACTTATAGCTCCTTGGGACCAGGTTTATCTAACTGAACTGCTATTCAATTAAGGATCCTCCACCGGGGGACTTGCAGGGTTCAATCTCTTGCTATGTGCCTATTTATATTTAATATTTAAAATGAGCATAGCTTGCCTGATGCACATGAAATGCAGTGTTTTCCATCATGATATACAAGGAAGCTGCAATATTTCTATCGTAAAAATCTATTTACCAGGAAAATATATTACCCAGGCTCTCTACAAAGGCTGCCTTTCTGTACGTTGCTCAAAATTGTTTGCATTGAATCCTGGACTTGCAGCATGGGTGAAGATTTGACACAATAGTAAAAGTCATCAGATTGCTGCTGGCCCTACAGGAGGAGTCACATTTTAAAAATGTTTTTCAGGTTGACCAGGGCTGTGGATCTGTGCATGCACATGGTTCTCCGTGCACATGCGTTTGTGTACGTCATAGTAACTTCAGCTACGATTAGCTAGATGGCTGGATAAAAATTTGTACTTATAGGCTTTGTTAACATCAACATAATTGTCCTATAAGGCTTTCCACAAATGAAGTATTTTACTTTTTAGGCTTCTGTTTCCTTTTTTTACTTCACCTGAATAGGACAAATAGAACGGATGATGACTTTCACTTCTTTTTTAAATTCACTTCATATTCTCATGCTCTAAAGTATGTTTAGGATGCTGAAGCAGGAGGCCTTACTGTTGCATCTGTTAAAAACTGGTTGGTTGCTGATTTTGTAGTACCTTGCAGGCCTCCCTGTCAAGTTAAAGGCTTGACACTTCTGTTGAAGAAACTAAAGTTTTCGCATTTGAACAACAGGAGCTTACAGAAACGGAAAACCTTTTTCCTAAATAAATAAAATAATGTGCCTTCAACTTCCAGTAGCGACCTGGGGAAAAAGGAAGTCAAACCATAATCCTATGAGCAGGCCTGTGCTCACCACGTAGCTTCCATGGGTCAACTCTAGCACTGCTGTTAATGCACAAATAGTTAGGGGTTTATTCACACGCCTTGCATAAAACTTGTGCGTAAGTGATCTAAAATACAGTTTGTGATTGCTATAGGATGATTCCAGATCCAGAGCTCTTTGCAAAAAAAGCAAAAGGTCTCCCACGCTTTTGGGGATAAGTGTGACTCGTAACTTCTGCTGGTAAAAAAGAAGGCTTTGCTCATTTTTAATTTAGCATTCTACCAGAGTCAGATCTCCTCCTGCCCTTACCAGGAGTATGAGTAATTAATTACCAGACGAACAAAACAAAGTGATGCGGCTGATACTTCTGTAAGATGTTCTTGAAGTACTTTAACATGGCAGAAGTGCTCTCAGTGATGAGAAAACATACCGTCAGCACGTGCAGTGTTTGGGCATAACCGCTAGTATGTTGTGTACGTACCTCTTTCTTCCTGATAGTCCTACTCAGTAGCTTACTGCCAAAGGTAACTACTACTTCAGTGGGTTTTATGGCGTTGTTCATAAGCTGTTATGGAACATTTTTATATGTGAGTATTTGGGTGATGGAATTTCTCCAAGTTAACATGTGCTGCAGGATGGAGGGCTGGACTTTGGAGGCATTTAATTGCCCAACAATGCAAATAGTTGTCCGGGTTTTAATAGTGCTCTGGCACCTACGCGTGGAAAATGCCAGCAGGTGTCTTTAGGCATCTAAACATGTGTGAAAAACTGCCCCAAGAACTGTTTTTAGCAAATAGCTTGGAAAAATTCCTCGTCTTCCTCTCTGCTGTAAACAAAACAGTTTTAATTACTGCAGCTTGGAAAACTATACCCAAATTTGAATTATGAGTGATTACATGTTTTTATGAGATGCTGAGACATGCACCCTTTGGTAAGCACCTTTTCTAGTTTGTCTGGGACAACACACATACTATTGCTAAAATGACCACAGGAAGAAGACACAGAATTTTATGGGTTATGAGCCACTCGTTTCTGTTAAAATTATGCATTTTTTCAGATGAAAGTGCTGTTATGTTTTTATGTCACCTTTTATCTGGGAAGATGCTCAGCTCTCATTCAGCCAGTCATACAAACATTACTTTGCAGTCTAGGTTGAAAGGAAATGTTCATTTAACATCATAGAGCAATAAGAGCAAACAAAACAGAGTAAGGATGGAAGAATTAGAAGTTATTAAATGGATATTTGTAAGGAGTAGCTCTGTGAAGATGCGTCTTTTCAGCGTAGGTGAGTAGAATTAAGGAAAAGTGCCCTTTTTTTAAAATTTGGATGGGTTCTGATGAGTTCAGTTTTACGCTTTCCCTGAAAGATGACAGGCTTCAGGGTAGCCTCACTCTGAGGCTTAGGACAGTGATGATCAGGTGGTTACAGATTAAAACCAACCAAGTCCATGCTGTGGACTTTTCTTTGAAAGGCTGGAACATAAGTGACAGGAAAATACATGCAATTCACATCCTGGATTCCGATACAACGAATAGCTTTATAAGGCAGTGGGCAGGTTTAGGAAAGTGCAGCTGCCAAGTAAACTTTGAGTTTAGCAAAAACTTTAGGGTAAGTGAAAGTTAACTTTAAAACTTACTTGCTTTCAAACATTTGTCTGCATCAGAGCATCTAGAAATAATTCAGATTTATTATCCCACTGTGTACACAGAGGCGTATGTAACATCACCATTTTACTGAAATAATAAGCGTCAACTTATTTGAGGAATGTGCAGTGGGGGGGTGGGATCAGAAAGCAGATTTAGCATGACAGTAATTTGTCTCTATAGTACATTATACTGTTGTGAAATCCCTAAAAAAAAAAAAAGCGCCCTAGCATCTGCTATTGTATAAGTTAAATTTTACTCCTCTGTGGGCTGAGCTGGCAATTTATGGATAGTTCACATACAGAAAATAGAGCAGATTGCATGCTCGGGAGGGAATCTGGCCTTTGGATACCAAAGTTGTATTATGTAATGAATTGCTCAGATTCATCACACATCGGTGTCTCTCTCTGCTGCAGTTGGAAGATGTACCCCGTGGACTGCCTTTGGCTGCTGTAACACTCTTTGTCCTTTTCCTACCAGCAGTCAGCAGTACTGGACATAAATTGGGAAGCACGGGAAAAATTCATGTTGGGAGTTTGATGGAGAAGTAGGTAGGTGTCAGCAGACAGCTGGAAAGCAACAGCTGCCCATTGCCAGCTATTGTGCTGAC